ATGGATAGATGCGGTCCTTTTTCGAAGCTGAGCGCACAGTTGTATTTCCTGCACAATCACACACGAAGTGAGGCTGTGTGTATGCCGGTTATACCATGAATATAAACCTTGCAGGCACCGCTTGTTTGTCAAACTGTTTATGAAGCAAAAGTCACATTTCTGTTTATTTACAAAGCAAAAAGAAGGGGGGAAAAGAGGCGTAGGAGGGGGCGGAGCTTAGATACGTGCGGGGGAGTTGTGGGTCATTTGCGTTTAGTTGGACGCGTGCGCACTAGCATACCGGCGACGGCTGTTCAAACGGTGGCCTAGCGAATAAGGGGATTACGGAGCCCAATCTGACAGGTTAGATAACGAAAAACGTTTACATTTTTAGCTGTGTACGTGTGGCAGCGATTCATAATGAAAAGTTAAATGAATTCTTACTGTCTGAGACGGTGGTCTGTCGTTTGCGCTAACGTTAATGTTGGATTTTGGTACTAAGCTAACGTTAGCTACAGCAGTTAGCCGCTGGCTGCCAGCTAGCTTTCGATAGTAGAGGAGGCTAAGAGCGGCGTTGACATTAGCCAGCTGATCAAGTGTACCCTCCCGGGGGACTTGTGCTTTTAGGTTTTCCTTGTGCTTGTCCGAGTTGTGAGTTGACAACGGAAATACTGGACCCCGATCAGTAGATGGTAAAATGATGCTTTCTTTCCACGCAGCATCAAGCCACGGGAAGCTAATAGGCTAGCTGCTATCCTTACATGACCCTGTTTGTTGAACAATCTTTTTTGAGAGGAATGATACACACCGGTAGCTATGCCAGCGTTGGCTACGTTAGTTGGTGTCTGTCTTGCTAGTCTTTACAGTACAGTTGGAGGTGTTTTAATAAAAAAGAAAAAAAACAGAGGGTTTGTTTCTCAGTTGGGAACTTTGAAAGATTTGCTCCAAAGCATATCCAAATAATAGACTTCCTACTCTTCTCAGGCTGCACAATGAGTCAGGGTAAGGACAATGCACGCCTCAAAAGCTACAAGAATAAGTCTCTCAACACAGATGAGATGAGAAGGAGGAGGGAAGAGGAAGGCCTGCAGCTCCGTAAACAGAAGAAGGATGAGCAAGTAAGCAATGTGTTATACTGTACAACTAAAACCGTCGTAATGATCCTGAAATTACATGCTGACAGTGTTTGGAGTAAACTTGAGGCCATGCTTTGTTTGTAGCAATTTAGTTTTGGAAGGGAAATGCATATTTGTCCTTCTGTTGCAGCTTTTTAAGAGAAGAAATGTTGCCACGGTGGAAGATGATGGCATCCTGGATGAGGATGGGATGGCTGATAGCGGCTATCTGGAGTCCCAGGCCAACAACATGGACCCACTCATGGTGAGAAGGCATTCATATGTCTGCTCTGTCACACATACACTCATTTCTGGTAATCAGATGGCATCTAAAAATCTTGGCTTTATGTTTAAATTAATATTTGGGTCATTCTTCTGTAAAACTCAGGCTGGAGGCTGTAGAGGAGCTTTTCTGTATCATGTTCTAAACAGCACAAGTTTTGATGCATGCAGTGACATTGACACGTAGTGAGCCACACAAATAGCATGTTGAATCTTTCACACACCGTGCAGTGTGTTTGTCGCCTCACCAGACCACAATGATGCGTGCAAAGTTACATTTTATCACACAAACTGTAATTTGCATAAATTCCTATGTGATGCATTTTGTTCTAATCAGTAAGAGCACTGTCTCTAAGCATGTTTAAGAGGAGTGAGCTACAGCTTTCTCAGCACCACTGAGCAGACTCCCTGCTCCAAGTGGCAAAAATGAAAGTGAAACATTCAAAAGTGTAGATACGCTTCCCTCTTGTCAACTGACAAAATTCATTGTACCACAAAGATTCCTGATATCCAGGCGTATGAGATGTCATCACCCACTGCACATATCAAGTCGGCTGTGACAGCAATTCATGTGTTTTTAAAAAAATCCCCATTTTTGTGCCACACAGGGTGGGGTGATCTCTGAAGACATGATTCAAATGATTTTCTCCAGCTCTCCTGAGCAGCAGCTAATAGGTACTCAGCGCTTTAGGAAACTACTTTCTAAAGGTAAGCAGGACTCTAACTTTGCCCATTACAGCCACTCCTGTCTTTGCATTTGTTTCAGTATGTCTTACAAGGGAAGGATAATGACTGGTTGAGGCCCAGTGCAAGGACAAAAGCATTGTTTTGAGCTCCATAATCTGCCACTCTGTCTCACAGTTAACTGCTGCCTAAAATTCAGAACTGCACAATATCAGTGTGGCTGGAGTGAATGTTACATGGGGTGTAATGCTGTTAAGTGTGCCTGTATTAATTGTTTCTACGTCACCTCACCCTCCCTCACACGCAGAACCCAACCCACCTATTGATGAAGTCATTGCCACTCAAGGGGTGGTGGAGCGCTTTGTTGAGTTCCTGAAAAGAAGGGAAAACTGCACATTGCAGGTATGTTTTCCTAGAAAACTAATTTTAGATTATATTTGAAGCTTGTCGATTTTTGTTTTTTCTCCCTCATGTTTGTTTGTAATGTGCTCTCTTCCTGTTTCACCATCGTATCAAAAAAGTTTCATGTGTTGTGAGTTCAGTGCACTAACTTTCTTCATATATTTTGAATATGATTATAGTTTGAGGCTGCGTGGGTATTGACCAACATTGCTTCAGGTACGTCTCACCAGACACGGGTGGTCATCCAGGCAGGAGCTGTGCCTATATTCATAGAGATGCTCAGCTCGGATTTTGAGGACGTACAGGAACAGGTGAGGAGGCTTCATTTTTACCTTTCCTGGTGTCTACTGACCTCTGGCAGCTTGCTGAGGTCAAATTTAAACTGATTAAAATTGTAGTTTTTCATGTTGTTTTTATTGTTTGACTTGAATAATTGCTTCACCCCTCAGGCGGTGTGGGCCTTGGGAAACATAGCAGGAGACAGCACAGAATGCAGAGACTTTGTCATAGACTGCAACATACTGCCCTCACTGGTGCAGTAAGTATCCCTTCAGTCTTACATTCTCTGCTTTTGAAGTTGCCTCTACGGGGAAACAAAGAGCAACTTTGATTGCGATTGTCAAATTTTCCTCTTGCAGGTTATTGGCCAAACAGAATCGTCTAACAATGATGAGGAACGCAGTGTGGGCGCTCTCAAACCTGTGCAGAGGAAAGAACCCACCTCCAGATTTCACTAAGGTAATTTGCCAAGATAAACACATCACTATGGTAACTGCACACCTCTTAGACTGCTTAAAGGCACATCGTATCTCAGATTTCAAGGTCACAGGCTATATGAAGATACTAATATGCTAAACTGGATAACAGTTACACCTGCTGAATGTGTCCCTTTGTTTCTTGCAGGTGTCTCCGTGTCTCAGCGTGCTGTCTTGGCTGCTGTTTGTAAACGATACGGACATCCTAGCTGACGCATGCTGGGCGCTCTCCTACCTATCAGATGGCCCAAATGACAAAATCCAGGCTGTTATTGACTCGGGAGTCTGTCGCAGGCTCGTCGAACTGCTGATGTGAGAGCCAAAACAAACACACACACAGATATTTTCAGAGGCGTTCTACAAAGTGTATGCGAAACACTTGGGACTCTAGTTAAATACCCATAAAGTGACAAGTAACACATGGGTGCTATAAATTAACAGGACTGAAACATTTGGAAGAATTAGGTTATGTTGTAGAGGAAGGGTGCAAAGGTGCATTTAAGCGGGTCTGACAGCACATGTTGACCTTAGTAAGACTGCATTTTTTTTCCCTTTTAATTTGTCACCTAGTAACAACAAATAGTGGTTTAACATTATTGCTACCATCCTAAAACTGGAGGGTTAACATTTCTAAAACTTGATGAAAAACTGTATCATCTCACACTAAG